CTTTTTTTAACATTGTTGTTTGGAGAATATGTATGCAGTGAAGTTAAATTCCGTTTGATTTTTTTCGTATTTGTTACTTAATAAAATATGATACGATGTAATAGTGTATAGTATTTACCTCATCTTTTTTCAGTACTGTACATTTCTGCATTTTTACCCCAGTTGTTTTAAATTATGCTTGCTAAGCCTTTAAACCTACTTTACTTATATGGCATTTAATTGCTATGATCACCGTGTTAAATGGTTCTTTGGTTACATTGTTACATTTAATACCGTGTTTATGTATATTTACTTTAAAAAATACGTCTTGCTCTTTGATTGTGCTATATGTGTATGTATTTTTATTTCCTTGTTTCTATTTTCCTGGTATCTTCTTTTACAATTTTCATATTTGTTACTTCGCTGTCTGTTTGTTATAAAGTTTTTTAAAGCTTTAGCAAAATTCAGTGTTACTATTTTAGCTTCTCTCTGTTCTGTTGTATTTCTATTTTTTGTTTGTTTAATACTCTGAAAATCTTTATTTATTTTACTATTATCTTGTTCCCTATTAATCTACAGCATTATTGATTTATATGTCGACAAATCTTTCAACTGTTGCCTGTCTTATGATGAGTTACTTTTCTGCTTGTATATTAAAATATCACTTTTTTAGTAATTGTTTAATTTATGTGCGTTTAACTCTTCGTTTAGTTACATTTTTGCGTTTTTATTATATTGTTTGCATTTTACAACTAATGAACTTATTTGTGCTTCGTTTATTATATCGTTTGCATATTACAACTAATGATCTTCTTTTGTGCTTCGTTTATTATATTGTTTGGATGTTATAACTAATGAACTTCTTTGTGCTTCATTTCTTAATTATAATCATTCAGTTTCCTTTTAAGTCACAATTTTTGCGTTTAACATAATTAGTTTTTTTATTTGCTAACAATAAGTATGAAGCCTAGTTGTCATCCGACTGGCCTTCATGTTTAATTTTGCTATCTTAAACAACTTGTCTGGAAAATAAAACTATAAACTAATAAATCAGGAGACTAACTTAGCAGAATCAACTCTTCAAATCCTATAGAAATATAGGCTCGCTGTGGTGAGAAAAATACTAGTAAAAACGCCAAAGATATGGTTCCTTTTATTCACAAGAACTTATAAGTGAAAGTAAAGAAGGTTGTATAACGATGGGTCAACCCCATTATTACTGCTATTTCCGGTGCCGACGAAGCCTTTTACGTAATGCCCTGGTTCAACTAGAATATGTCAGACACAGTAATGATTGATAACCTACTTCTTTATGAAATAACTGGAGCGTCAACTGTTTCGTTGTGAACCAGATAAGTTGGTTCATAATTTCTATCAATTTCATTTAAGTCAGTACAAATCATAACTGAGTTAAAGATCTATTAACACCACATTATTTATCTATTTTAACACCAAAACGTTAATTTGTTAATAAAATATTCATTTGTTTTGTTTTTTAAAGCCCCCCAGTGGCACAGCGATATGTCTGCAGACTTACAACGCTAGAAATCGGGTTTCGATACCCGTGGTGGGCAGAGCACAGATGGCCCTTTGTGTAGCTTTGTGCTTAACAACAACACCTGTTTTTTAACTACCTATTGTTAATTTCGCTTTTTCTTTTTTGCTCTGTTGTTTGCTCAAATGTTTGAGTACTTTCTTATATATATAATATTTGTAGTTATTTAATTTTGTGTTAGCTACTTTTTGCCAGTCGGATTATCTAGTATTGTCTGTTACGATAAGAAAACATCAATACTTTATTAGGAGGTAAATATACTTTCAAAATATTTGTATTGGGCCGGGTATGGCCTGGTGGTTATCGTACCTGGACTGTGATTGCGGGGGTTGTTAGTTACGTGAAATTTCGAAACAAATAGACACTGATAATTCAAGCTTCGCAGGGTTTGTTTGTAATTGAGCACAAAGCTACACAATGGGCTATCTGTGCTCTGCCCACCACGGGTATCAAAACCCGGATTCTAGCGTTGTAAGTCCGCAGATATACCGTTGTGCCACTGGAGGGCGCTTCGTAGTGAGAATTTAATTGACTGTTTGCAGCGGTGGCACAGCGATATCTCTGCGGACTTACAACGCTAGAAATTGAGTTTCGATACCCGTGGTGGACACAGCATAAATAACCTATTGTGTAGCTTTGTGCTAAACTACAAATAAACAAACAAATTATTAAAAAATATAAACATTAAATTTGCTTAAGTGATTAAAGTACATGTACCATTTATGAGTTATATAATACGGTTTTAATGGTGCGAAAACGCCAGTTACTCCTCTAACTGTGTGATATTAAAAGAATTATCATTCTTAAAACAGCTAAACACAATTTTATAAGTCCAGCAGTGTTCTATGGCATTTTCAATGTTTGTTTATGAACGGTTGAAACGTTGTGTATTTCGTTTTGTCAAGATTTTAAACAATCAACTTGAAAAATATTTAGTATTAAGATACAAATAGAAAAAAAACTATGTCAACATTTGCCAAATGCTCTTTTTTTTTTATATATTCCATACTTAGAGAGGAGTGAATGGCGGGTGCGATTTCACCTCCTGATTATTCTCACATACGTTAACACGTTTAAAAGGTGTAAAATCAGACTCAGATACCATCAAAATGCACCATTTTAATGAAAATCTTTAAAATATTGCCGAGAGGGCATGCCAGGGGGGCTCTCAACCTGGCTTCGCAACTCATTTTAATTTTATCGAACAGTAAAACCCCTTTTATGAATTTCTACCAACACTGCTGATATAAAACGAGGGTGGCCAGATGTTCTAATTCTTGGAATGTTTTCCCAGTGTACTGATAAACACTTTTTGAGCCACTAAATGTTTCGGTTTTAATTTTTCTCAGTAACCAGTCACGTTTTTGTACTTCTGTTCAGTACAATGAGCCTCTGACAATCTTGCTCAACAGATAAGATTTCTGCAAAGCGCTGATTCGGCATAGCCTTTACTGCTTCCTCTGAAGGCGGGCTGCAGCAGACGATATGATATCACTGTTACATATATATATCACTGAGTATATGATTTTCAGCCGCCAAAACAAAGTGAGGCAATTGAATGTAAATAACAGGTGATCTTCACAATCGATGTCCCATTTCCAAGTCGTGAAGCATTTGTTTAAAGTAACTCAAAGGTGAACATAAATTATTGTTGCTCAGTATTTTGACAATCTTATGGCCAACAATAACTTACTCGAAAAAAACTCAATCGTCTGTAACAGTAATAATGTAAGTAAATAAATAAATATATTATTCTCCCGTGATTATATTTATTATTTGCATAGGTGATTATTTAAAATTTTTCCTAAAACGACGGGAGTGGGTTAGTTTTAAGGCCTGAAAATCTGAGTGTGTCCCTATTTTATGATTTGAAAATCTGGTCGCCCTATATAGAATTCAAATTGGTTTTGACCTAATTTATGAAATGTTGATGTGTTCAAACTACGTAGAACAGCTATATGTGCAAAACGATCCATATTTAATTAGGTTTTGATTGTGTTACACGACTAATAATATTCAGTAGTAATTCCCTCAATTTGTTATAAGTAGAGAAAGATTATAATTTCAGAAAAATGTGTTGTTTAAACCACCGAGATTTTGTATAGCTTTAAGTAACATTTTGCACTCAGTGCAACCTATTCAGCTGATTTTGGTTAAGTAAACTGCAGAAGTAAGTTGGATAAACAGTTTTTTTGTTCGCCTCAAGAACGAACCCCGAATTCTAGCGTTATAAGCACTCCAGCTTACCACTAAACAGGGTTGCTAATAGCGCTTAAATTTACGGACAGTCAGTAACAAATATGGATATATATATATATTTTATATTATCTCTAAATCCGTAATGAGCAAACGGTGTTTTACTTAATGATTTCATTATAAATATAGTAACAGTATATCGGTAAAAATAAATTATAAGATTTAGCAACCCTCCGCTGAACCACTGAAACACGAATCAGACAAATATTGTCAGATAAATTAAACATACATTTTAATCAAAAAATAATCCATTACATTATCATAAATTGTCAGCAAAAAACCAAAGAGAAGTGATGCGAAGAGACATCACCAAGCTAAACCCAACAAACTATCACAAAAAGTAAGCGCAAACACCAACTACAAGAAAAGGCATAGGTTTCTATCAACAGTTAAGTTTGGTAGCAAGGCAAACCAATTTAAGATTAATTTATAGTAAAAATTCTAAATTTTGTTCTCAATTTCTTATGTTAGAACAGTTTGTTTCAACAATTATCTGGATATGTAAACATAATTGCTTATGTGAATATATATATATATATATATATACAAATGAATAAAATTTTCTATCATTTTTGTTGCCACTTAAATGGTAACTGTTGAAAGGACAATGTTCCATGTTACGGCGGAATTTGACATTTTGACTTTATAAGTAGAAATATATATAAAATCGAAGATTTTATTTGGATATCTCAGAATCTCAACAAACAAAATTCAATACAAACAACTATAAGTATCAGACAGTCACATTTAATACTTAGTGTTTCTTTATTGTTATTTATGAACACGATGGCGAAATAAAATGGAGAACACAAAATGTTGTACGGCGTATCATGAAGTGTTAAACTATAAATCAGTAGGGCTATCCTCTAAAATAAAGATGGAGCTTCTCAAGTAATCAGTGTTTACTCAGTAATTAAATGTTTACATTACAGGGCGTTTTACTGTTGTTGTTTTTTCCTTGCGGATTCAAATATTTCCTTTTAAGAATTCTGCATTAAGATTGCCATGCGTTACGAGTTCTGCAAGCTTAAAAAAAAAAGAACCTAGAAACATCATAAGTTACCATAACAAAAATACAAGTAAATCTAACTTCAGATCAGCTTTTACATTATGCACAGAAGAAAGAAAATAGTTTCCCTAAAGCCAAATATTAAGCTTACCTTAACCATTTTTATTCATGTAAAAATACAGCAAAACTGCATTTACTTACAGTACGTTTCTTCCACAAGTTTTGATACAACTTCATTCTTCAGTTTACTGTTTTTCTTTCCCATGAAAGCCGGTTATTAATCAGCAGTTCGCTAGAATCACCAACTGTATGGCGCGAAGTGTTGCCGTCAACTCTCGTCCTCAGCTTTCCTTCGATTATAATCGAACTAAACTGCCCCAATTCTTTGCTTCCTTTGACGTTCAACAGCAAACGGAAAGGAGATGACAACGCTAGTGACGTACAAATTTTGAATGAATGAGATGCTTATCGCTACGTTAATGGGTAACTCGGACTTCACAGGAAATTAGTGTTTCTTTTACCAAACACCAACCTGTCCGTATTTTTGTTTGAAAAAGTACTATATAAATATCTGTTGTAGATTTTTAAAACCCTCAAACATGATTAACTTTTTTTAAGTAACTTCATTTTAGTGGAGCTGTTGCTAGTTATATTGACATAGAGACTAAGGGAGAGACATGACCCATATGTTTATTGAACAAAAATATATGTCTGTACTTACTTAAATACTTTAATCGACTCTACGGATAAAGAAGAATGTCTACTACATACCTAACTAAATAAAGAAAAGCCCCCCAATGGCACAGCGGTATGTCAGCGGACTTACAACGCTAGAATCCGGGTTTCTGGTGGGCAGAGCACAGATAGCCCATTGTGTAGCCTTGTGCTTAATTACAAACAAACAAATAGAGAAAAGTATATACAACACATGCCTATTAATAACGTAATCACTGGATATTGTTACACCCTAGTGTAACACCCATCTCTCGTATATATATGTAATGGAAGTCACGTGATTGATAATTTTTCAAATGTCTATTCGTTTGTTTTTTATTTGTTGTTAAAATAATTAAAGAAAAGTTCTCATTGTGTTTATAAAACATTTGTGTGTTTGTAGTTCAACACAAAACTACACACTGGACTATCTATGCTCTGCCTACCACTGGTATCGAAACCCAGTTTCTAGCTTTGTAAATCTACATACATACCGCTGTGCCAGGAGGAAGCTTATAAAACATACATTATAATGTTTAAAAACAAATTACACTATCAAATAATCAACTAATTAGCCCTTAATGTAGATTTATTTTAAAAAAACAAGGTCATTGCGCATTTAACATGTAACTTAGATTTATTGAGAACCAAGATCATGGCGCATTTTACATTTAATGTAGATTTATTGAAAACCAAGATCATAGCGCATTTAGTATTTAATTTAGATTTCTTAGGAATCAAGATCATGGCGCATTTAACCTTTAATGTATATTTATTAAAAACCAAGATCATAACGCATTTAATATTTAATTTAGATTTCTTAAGAACCAAGATCATGGCGCATCTTAATTGAAGTTAACTCTTATTCATTTAGCGAACTATTTTTATACACGGGATTTCAGGGTTGCGTGATCATAGCACAATAAAGTAAAAACTCTGACATAATTAAGCCTTGTGTCAACTCAAAGATCATAAAAGGAGATACGACAGGTATCGTAGTTACACTCATCAAATTCTTTGAGTTTTGTATGGGAAATATAACGAAGATATGAATTTCCTGAACATTCATAATTAAACAAGAGACCTGTGTCTATGTTAGCTCATTAAGATTACAAGTTCCCTAAAAGTTCGAATACAACTGAAGAGGAAAGACATCAGACATAAATTCATTATTCAACAGACAATTTCCCTGGATTTTACTTATTTATTTCAGATTTTATTCATCTAAACTACGCTTATTTTTTTCTAAACCATAAAACACTTATGTGCAAGAACGTAAAAGCTGAAACAAATCCAATGTCTGTTCCTGTCTAGTGGTTAACGTGTCAAATTGTGAAACTCAAGGTTCATAGTTCGCGTTCTATTGTCACGAAATCGTGCACTGTAATTTGGGGCCGTCGGTGCGTTATAAGAGTGACGGTCAAATGTCAGTATTCGATTAGAGTAGCCAACAGCGAGTGCTGTTGAATACCGTCATTTTCCCTAGTCAATCATTTCAAAATCAGGAATGATTAGGGTATATTGCCATTGTGTAGTTTCGTGAATGTTTCTTATAAGTCAAAATATAAGAAATAAGAAATTTCAAGTTAATAATTATACTAATTTATGAAGCTGTTAACATTTTATTCATCTTCTCATTTTTATTGAAATCAAGACTTCTGATAAAAAAAGTTTAGTATCTCTTTTTATAACCTTTCCTTCATTATCTGGTATTTATTAGGATACTGAAATATAATTTATGTAAACAATATATTGTTTATATCAGTTATATCTTGATTCCTTTATAATTAACATTTTATTTTTACGTATTCGAAACTTAATTATCAGCTATAGGTAGTAGAGTGGTCAGTTAGTAACCTGGATAGAGGTTTAACTTTGGCTTATACAAAGAAGTAGAGTGGTCAGTTAGTAACCTGGATAGAGGTTTAACTTTGGCTTATACAAAGAAGTAGAGTGGTCAGTTAGTAACCTGGATAGAGGTTTAAGTTTGGCTTATACAAAGGAGGTAGAGTGGTTAGCTAGTAACCTGGATAGAGGTTTAAGTTTGGCTTATACAAAGAGTCCATATAACTGTTCCCTGGTGGGACAGAAGTAAGTTTACGGACTTACAACGCTAAAATTCGGGGTTCGATTCCCAGCGGTGACCACAGCAGTTAGCCCAATGTGAATTTACTCTAAAACATATAGCTGTCATATTTTATTTCAGCTCGAATATCCAGCCAGTTTTTCTCGTTCGATATTGGACAATTTACTGTGCAACTTTATGAAAGATAAATTTGACATTCTTCTTCTTTGCTGTCAGTGACTCATCGGTAAGTTTACGGCTCATAATGTTGAAATTCGGGATTCGATTCTATGTTGAGAATAACGCATATAGCTTATTGAACAGCTTTACGCTAAATAAAACATCCCTTTAGTAAGTTCACCTTGTGATGCTCTAAATAAAAAAACAAATGACTTATGTATTTTTCCATTATCTTTTCAATAAGATTTTGTAAATATTGAAGGAAGTAATGTTTCATATTCATAAGATTAACAACTGCTGAATAATAATAATCGCATACAACATCTCAGTTTCCTATTTCGTTCTCGAGTGCTCATCCTAAATGAGTTTAAACTAATTGTAAAGAGACACAAAAGATGTAGAAGTATAATATACTAGTAAAGTACATTATCCGATAAGAACACGGTGCTTGGATGGAGTTTCATGATTGAATCAGAAATGATTACCCAAATTGTCATTTTTACAAAAAATAGTCGATTACTTTCTGTTATATTTTGTAACTTCGTTAGAATATAAATACGAGTAATAGTTTAGAGGATAAAATTCAAGTATTTCTAAAAATCTTTTAAAGAAGCATTGAATAAGTGAAGTGCTTTTCAGGAAAACAACGAACTTTTCTCAGTCCTCGAGCTTTTCATTCTATCTTTCAATTATATGAAATATATTGTCTTCTCCAATTACTAAAAATTATTTCAATTTCCATAAATACTTATTTCAAATTTATAAAAAAAGAAATAATATTAATTAAATTTGAATAAAAATTACAGTTGAATCACATGCAAGAACTGAATATCGCACACTTAATTTCCAAAAAGAACAGAGTCAGTGCTCACCCAAGGAGTATAGTCGTTAGTTATGAGTTGTTGTTTTTAACACAAATTCAAGGTTTGGTTTGTTTTAAATTTCTCGCAAAAAAATATACAAGAGGACTATCTGCTCTAGCCGTCCCTAATTTAGCACTGATAGACAGAGAGAAGGCAGCTAATCAACACCACCCACCACCAACTCTTGGGCTACTCTTTTACCAACGAATAGTGGGATTCACCATCACATTATAACGCCCCCACAGCTGAATGGGCAAGCATTTTCGGTTATGGGGATTCGATCCCACGACACACAGATTGCGAGTCGAGCACCCTAACCACCAGGCTTTGCCGGGCCAGATTTAAGAGATAGGTTAGCATTAACAAATACCGATATTTTCCGCTTTTATTAGAAACAGTGATCACAGGAATGTCTAGCAGTTTCCAAGTCCTTATATTACACAAGACAAATCGATAATACTCTTTTCATTTTGGGGCCTTGAAAAAAAAAAAAAGAAGAAGCAGGTTTGGTTGTGTTAGAGCAAAGCCATATTGGGCTATATGATCTATTCACCGCGGGGAATCGAACCCCGGATTTTATCGTTGTAAGTCCCTAGACGTACCTCCTGTCCCACCGGGGGACAAGAAAAAAGAAAGCAAGTTTGGTTCTGTTAGATCTTAAATCTTCTGTTGGATCTTAAACAACTCGCGACCAAAAGTAACTGTTAAATACAATTCAAACTTGTTTTATGTTTCATTGTTTATCAGTTAATATTGAAATGAATAA